TTTTTTTTCACTTCGATTCATCTCTTCTCGTCAATTATCAGCTATAAAATAATTGAAAATTATTTCGTAGTTTCTGCGTGACTGTTAGGGTGTTACCAGTTGAATAATATAGCAGAAATTTGCAGACGTTTCCGCCTCCGTCTGCTGTTTGATCTGTTCAGACTGTACTTGAAGTATTTCTTGTGCCCATCATGAAGTGAAAATTTGAGAATTAATGCACAGCAGTTGAAAAAAACTTAACTTTTACCGAATCTGATGATATACAGATCAAAGTTGTCAGAACAACAGTAGTTCAACAAAAAGAAAATCATAATTGTCTAGATTGTTTTTAGTGGTTTAAACTTTGATTTTTGAATTATTACTTTTTTTTTTCCATTTTTGTCATTATCGATTTGAGTGTTTACGTCACAAGCTAAGCACTTAGATTTTTGAAGCCGATTTTATTTTGACAGTTATTATTTTATTATCATATCGCACTTCTATGATGCATCACCTTTGCACAGCTCAACATCATTTTTTCTTTCCTTAAACGATTGTTTCAGAACTTTAAAAAAGTTAATTATTCTAATGTTACTGAGACTACAGTTTTACAGTTTATGAGTAAATACTTGTAATAAATATTTGTGTTATTCAACGCTATATTGTTGTTTTATATCTAAACAACTTAGTGTTGACAGTTTTCAAAGAATTATTAATAAATTATTTTGTTCAAACATGCCAAAACTCAATATCGTCGTTAGAACACTGCAGACACTATCGGTACTGTGCGCCTCTGCGTTCAAGTTCTCGCCGGGGGTTTTTTTCGCTAGATAAATCTGTAAAAAAAGTGTTATGAACCACTGATGCTGACTGTCGCCATTGTCATCAAACTTGTGCATTTTTCTTGCTAACCAATACCGCAAATCGTACCATCTGTTATTAATTTGACTGTACAGAACAGTACGACTAAGAAATGCAAAATCGTAGAAAAGTAGCAATTTTTAGTGTCATACCTTTTCCGCAATCATCGAAGTTGTAACCACGTCTTATGACCTCTACAACAGAACCTACAACTTCTTCTGGTAAGCGTATTTCTTATTCCTAAGCTGCTAAGAAAGCATCTTCTATACTGCGGCTTAACAGTGCCATATCAGGTTTATTTTGGATACCAAAAATTTAGTTACTTAATTTTCTATAAAACTTTTTACAACTGCTAATCTAACCTAGAGTTAAAACTTTTATTCTGTATTAGTGTCAGTAGATCACTTTAGCATGATAAGTGCTCACCGTGTTCAGTCACAAATGAATAACATATTTTATCATCTCACCAGTACGACATCTAGTAATTTTTTTCGTAAACGAAAGTATTACTTTTTGTCTACTATTAAGCACAGAATAATTTTTGGCTGAATATTTTAGTTTTGTAACTTAAGTAGAAGTTTTTAAGGGTGAACTTGTCTAATAATTCTACTCAGAACCTAAAGTTTTTTAGACGAACGTTATTGAGGTGGGCAAAATTTCAGCTAAACTTTTTAATAAGTAATTGTATCTTCTATATTTATTGTTCACTAGTTTGGTTTTGTAAAAATGATGAAACATTGACTTTTTAAAAAATTTGTTTTTAACTGTTTGAAGGTTTATTTGGCTAATTGCTTTTGGAAGCACTGCAAAAAAAAAGAATCGGGAAACGGAACTGAGCAGTTTTGATCACTGTATAGAATCAGTGTAATCAATTGCATTAATTGCATTTTCTATATCATTGTTATAGTTTCTTTACTTCTTTTTGGTCTGCAAACTTAAAATTATAGAAACTAGTAATTTTACCAGTGTTAAAACTTTTTTAATTTAGACAGTCAATATTAAGCAGTATTTCTTTCTAGACCTTGTATAAACAGGGTAGCAGGCAAAACATTTTACGTAACTGTCAAATGATTCAAAATTGTTTTGAAATTATTCTTATATTTACTTCATGAAAATAGTTTGGGTTTAGATAAACTAGACCACAGCATTGATCAGTAATTCTTTGATCAGTTAATGACGAAAATGTTATTAATGAGATTGCCGACAAAATATTCGACTGCTTGCAGACAGTAACGTTGATCGCTTTTTTACTATTTTTGATAAAATTCGGTAGTCTAAAGTTCAAGTCTAAACTTTACTGTTACAACTAATGTGACTGAACTTAAAAAGCTTCAAATTTTAATCTATTGCAAATAAATGACATCAGTTTTATCTAATTTTTACCATTTAATTTTCTGCAGATTTGC